AAAATTAACCAACAAAGTTAATTTAAAATAAATACCTAACCTAAAGCATTTACCAATTACCAATTACCACAAAATTAACCTAAAATACTACTAATTGAAGTTGGAAATTAGAAATTTAGAAATTAGAAATTACCAAWTACCCAAGAGGCACAGTCGGTCGGTCAGTCCACTCCAGTCTGCTAGGGCCTAGGGTTCCTTTCCTTGATTCCTTCGTCGATCGTCGACGTTTCTAAGGTAGACGCTAGGGCTAGGGTTCCTTTCCAGCTTTCCTCCATGACTCTCAGTCTCTGTCGCAACTCACGATGAAGAAGAAGAAGAGAAGAAGGGAAGAAGACAGAAGTGATGTGATGGTGAGGTCGGTCGCAGCCGATGCCCGATGAAGAAGAAGATTAGAAGACGGTAGACGGTAGTCTCAAGTCTGGTCGCTACTCGTCGTTTGCTTGCAGCCTTGCACTAAGACTGAACTGAGGTTAGAATTAGAGCCTGGAGGGGCCTCTTGCATCTTGTTGTTGGGGGCCCAAATTCATTTCATTGAAAAATACAAATAAACTAAAAAAAATTTGGGCTTTCTTGTTAAAAAATTGTTGGGGGCCCAGGACCCCTACCCTCATCACATACGTCCGCCCCTGGTTCGAACATTGTTTTCAAAATGCTTCGGGTGTTAAATAAATGAGCTTGACAAGAAGAGTTATTTTGTAGAGAAAAATGATAAATGATTAGAGCAATGCAAGTCGAAGACTTTCAAGCATTTGGTGACTAAACACTTGTATTATTACTAAATATACTTTTTCAACCATTGTTTTATGGATATAAAATGCTTCTATTTGAGGTAAATTTGGTATAGTATTATGTTTTTTTTTCTTCAATGATGTTTACCAACCAGTTTAATTGGTATGTAAAATAATATATTTGTGTACCAACCCACTGTAACTCGTACAAACTTTTTTCGATTGTTACATGTTGATATTGTGTTTGTACCAACTTCAGGATACATATATGAAAACTTGTCATTTTGTTCGAATTTTAAGTGATACTTTTTAGATGCTTAAGGGGTTATAATTGTAAAGAATAAAACTTGTAAACAATTTTAAGTGTTCAAATAAGATAATTGAAGTTACAATGTTTAATATCCAATCCATAAACAGTTACAAAAAAGTAATAAAGAATAAATAAGTCAGCACCATAGTGCTATTGTGGTATACGACTTTTAATACCGTGTACCAACCTAGTTTGCATAATTAGTACGGTACTACCAATCGACTATAATCAGTACCAATTTAATTGGTACGATTTATACACATTGATTGGTCTGATTTGATACAAAAATTGTCACCCCTAGCTAGTAGTTTGAGAGAAGACTTGTAAAGAGTTGAAAAAGAGTTTTTAGTTTAGTTATTGTAGTAGTTGTAATTTAAATGTATGCATTATTTAACATTCAAAGTTTCTTTATTTTCTTCTTGTTTTTCTTTATGTTTGTGTCCGCTCTCACGTCTTTAATCTTTTTAAAGTTAGAATATGTGACACATCAACTTGAATGATATGAGAAGCATACTCGAAAGATTTGCTATCATGCAAGGAAATTTGCATGTAGTTGTGTCATGTTTGATGTTATATCCACGTATGAATACGATTATACGAGCACAAGTATATGGATGAGAGCCTCTTAAAACTTGGAAAATGTCTTTTATGAGTTGATTGTGGTTTGATATTATTGTAGCCCTTTATTTTCTATTGAATTTTCTACACTTTCCACCCTTGCTACTTGTTTACTATTTGTTTTTCAACCATAAACCTATTTTTTTGACTTCGTTATATAAAATTGGCCTTACACTTCGATGTCTTACAATTTTGAAACTTATATACGTGGAATACGATACTTAGTTCTTACCACTTTATCTAAGAGTAGAGCGTTGACATATGCAAATTTGTATAGGTTTATATTGATTGTTGTCTTAGAGGTGCAATTTCCCCATAAAGAATGAAATTGAAGTTGGTTCTACTTCGACGTAATTTGTCCATAAATAGATGATGGAATAGGTTTACTATATTGTGAAACATACAATTCTCTCCACAGAGTTGAATTCCACACCCGTTATTAGAAAACAACTAGCTACTGGGATAAAACCCTGGCCATCTTGAAAGAGTTTCATGACGATGATCACTTTTGTTTGAGTTGATACCGATAGAGGCAAATCGTGGTGGTTTTGCTAGCAAATTAAGTAAAAACTGTTCGATACTCGAAGTTGTAGATGAAACCGACTCCATAACTATAAGCAGAAAAAGGTACAAGCCTTATGCTTTGAATTTGATTATGTATTATTTGCATGTAGTTTGGAACATGGTCATCTCTTTTTGTTATGATGCATTATATGTAATATGTTTCATACAACATTTGATCAAATCACTTCTATTTCTCTATTCATTGCTTTTGGGTTGGATACCTACTTAGGTGAACAAACAATACTTTGTTCCTAGCCAGAGTGTCAGGGCTCCTCATTTGAGCCTTAATTCAATGTTCTAACAACAGGAGAGATGAATACAACGTAATTTTGGAAATAAACGTTTTTGTTCTAATCTTCGAAAGTTAGTTTAGTCATTTTGCATTTAACATCCAATAGCCGTGCCATTTACCTGACTTTTTGATAATAAAAAAGATGAAATATGTCCAATATCTTGTGTATAGTGTTTTGCACATGTTTTTAAAGATAAATTTTGATCAAGAATACATACCTAGGCTCATAGTTATTATTATAAAAATCAAGTAATTTATCGTACTATAATATACCGGTATTTATTTCAATTTCATGGTATACCCATATCCAAACATCATGATATCTTCTATCTTCAAATCAATATATAGGTATAGGTATAGGTATATATATAGGTATATACCCACAATATATCCAACTCCACCGATTACCACCTCTATCTATATGTATAGCAAACAAACATGGTATCTTTGATTTTACAAGAAAAATATATGTATATATACAAATGAATTAAAATTAGATAGATGAGRGAGGATTGAGAGAGAGATTGGATCGGGTTTTTTGGCAAGAGTAAGAAACAGGGAATATATAAGTAGGGGTCTAATGGCGTGAAGAGGAGAAAGCCAATGACGTTTGGAAAAGCGAAGAAATAAAGAGATCCAAAATCAATCATGTGGAAGACGAGCCACCGTTACACTTACGACGCCCTCCTCCATTCTCTTCCCTTCYCTAATTAACTGTTTTTGCTGTTTCACTTGTTTCTCATTCATTCTCTTCTCTTATACATATACATGTATATGTAATTGAAGAATTGGGGCTTGTTTTGGCTGTCTGGATTTGGATCTGAGCTGGGTATTTCAAAACCCGATCTGGGTTTGTCTAATCGCGACCAGAAATGGAGGAAACCAGATTGTGTTCATGGACCGTCTGTCGATCCATCTTTGCCATCTTTCAGTGGTGGAGTTTCAATGTTGCCGTCATCATCATGAACAAATGGATCTTTCAGGTATCATCTTTTTTGATTATTTATATATGTTTTCAGCTTTTTGTTGGACTTGCTTGCACGTATGTTACTCTAGACGTATGATTTCATTCATTCTAGGTTGTAAGTCATGTATATCGTCAATTTTGTAGCAACTTTTGGTAAATTAATGGCTTCAAATCTGCTTTCAACTTGTATGATTGATCTTAAAATGCACTTTGTTTCATATCATCTGTCTAATCTTGTTTAACATGTGCTTAAGTTTGTGGAAAAGCTGAGTAATTTACAGATTCAAATTTGATTAAAACAAAATCTTTATTTCTGAGACTTGTTTGTATAGATGGATGAAATCTTTCATATCAATTTTGAAGTTAATTCATAACTCGTTTGACATTCCAACATCAAATTTAGGGTTTCTATGGGACAAAGGGAGTAATAGTTCAATTGGGGTTTTCACAGAAACATCCTCATCCTCTTTACTCTTTGTGATGGAGGTAACTGTGTATGAGATTTACTGAGTTCGTTTGATTTAGTGGGTGTAATCTTTTGTTCGGTGTTGCTTACATTTTCACATATGGTTTAAAAAGTTAAATTCCCATATGGAGATTTTGGAGTTGTTGTTGTTCTTACTTCAGTATTTCAGTAATTTTTTGACCATGTAATTTATATCTGAAATGTTTTGTTTTCGTTTCAGAAACTTGATTTCAAGTTCCCTTTGACGGTATCATGTATACACTTCATATGCTCATCGATTGGGGCATATGTAGTTATCAACGTACTGAAGGTTAAACCACTTATCACTGTTGAACCTGAAGATCGGTGGAGAAGGATATTTCCAATGTCGTTTGTGTTTTGTATGAATATAGTTTTGGGGAATGTGAGCTTACGTTACATCCCAGTTTCATTTATGCAAACAATCAAGTCATTYACCCCAGCAACAACAGTGATTTTGCAGTGGATGGTATGGAGAAAGTACTTCGACTGGAGAATTTGGGCTTCTCTTGTTCCTATTGTTGGTGGGATTCTCCTTACATCTGTTACAGAACTTAGCTTTAACGTGCTTGGCTTCTGTGCCGCCTTATTTGGCTGTCTTGCCACGTCTACCAAAACCATTCTTGCCGAGTCTTTGCTTCATGGCTATAAGTTTGACAGGTATCCATCGTTCCATCTTTCTTCATATCTTATAACGTTTGCTTGTTTTCTTGTATATGTTTACGTTGCTAGCTGAGACATATAATGTTTTTTAATTTCTTCATGTATGTGTATGCACTTACAGCATAAACACAGTGTACTATATGGCACCATTTGCGACTATGATATTGGCAGTACCAGCGTTGCTTCTAGAAGGAGCCGGAGTTTTGGAATGGATTCAGACAACTCCCTCTCTTATTTCATCCTTCATCATTATTATCGGCTCCGGAGTAATGGCTTTCTGCCTCAACTTCTCCATATTCTACGTCATCCATTCAACTACTGCCGTTACTTTCAATGTTGCTGGAAATCTTAAGGTAATCTTTCTTTCAAAACAAAAACCATATTTGCCATACGAAATGCATGTCATAGAACACAATATTAAAACATCATTAGTGTGAGAATATGTGAAAAACTCGTTTCCTCGAGGGCTGTTTTGGAGAGTAAGCTATATATTCTTACATGGTGTCAGAGCCAAGGTCTACCACTCTAGGGAATAGACATTTTCCCATGGGACAGTTGGAGTCTCACATCAGCTAGATAAACTTGGATCATTTATGTTGGAACCTCCTTTCTTCTGTCCTTAAGGGACARTAATCTTATGGGGTTCCACATGGTATTAGAGCCAAAGTCTACTACTTTAGGGATTCGACACTCTAGGGCCCTGTACTTCTGGCCCCCTCTCTGACATTTTGGGACAATTTGTGCCCATCTAGCCTGGGGCGTGTCTGAGTCCCAATTGCCTAGAACCATTTCTTCTTAATATATGTAGGAACGTCCCTTCTCTCCTCAATGGATTTTTTGGAGAGTAATCAAATGGGGTTCCACATGTTTTCACGATTAGGGTGAGTTTAATACCTTTTGTAGTTAAAGTTGGGATTTGTTTCTAAAGGTGGCATTTGCGGTTGCATTCTCGTGGATGATATTCAAAAACCCGATTTCGGCTATGAATGCACTTGGGTGTGCAGTAACGCTTGTGGGATGCACGTTCTATGGGTACGTTAGACACAGGCTACCAAACCAACTACCGGGAACTCCTCGTACACCCCGGACCCCACGTTCTCGCCTGGAAATGACTCCACTTGTAAACGATAAAATAGACGATAAAGTTTAGTTTTGTGTTATTGGTGTTTAGAAATATAAATATATATTATTTACTGGAGTCATGATGCAGTTTTTAGTGACTATTTGAGGACATGGTACCAAGAGCTAGTGATGAAACTTAATCTGATTATAGTATCAATGTGTTCTCTTCTTTCTTCACCAATCACCAGGATATGATATAATTTTTTCATCTACTAATCTWATGTTCTTTTACGTATTGTTTTCGTGATTCCGCTGTGGGATATACGTATATGTTGTGTATGTATATGTATGTAGGGTTGGGTTTGGTTTCCATGAGATGCCATTTTCGTGACAGGTGCGAAAAATAGAACTTTCATGTAACATAACGTAACCTTCACATAATATTTTGTGAAGGCGTCTGGATGTTCAAACCGGTGAAGGTAAGCATTTAGGTCCAGTAGTCTTCATGACATTCACAAAGTATAGTGTAACATTCACATAATATAAGAGTATCTTCATCATTTCTCATGCTTTTAACCAAAAAAAAAAAATTCTTTATGTGATCCCATGTCTATGTATGCCTTCTTTGGCGTTAGTTTTTAAAGACACGAATAACCATGTTTCTTAACAAGTATATCTTGAAAAACTCTTTGTACGAGAYGGTTTTGGGCCAGGGAGGGTGGGATTTGTCAGTAATCTGGGTACCAGTGGACCAATGACCCTTAGATAACAATCATGTTTCTTGTCAGAAAATTGAAGTGCAGTGATAACGAAATGGACATYGTAGATCCATAGTCGACTAGAAATGCATAATGGGGCTTGACGGTTTTCAGTCAGGTCTTTAAAAGCTTGGTCCTAGACCATGTTAGGCTTGTTAGTTCCTAGTCGGTTCTAACATATATGCACTAACGGATTATTTACTGAACACTTGCTATCTCTTATTAGGTAAGTAAACATATATTGCCTCTTATTRGGTAAGAGACGTTTATCGGTTAAAGATGATAGTTAGGGCGGTGACTATTATTGGTCATCATTTTCTGACCTGATTAGAGATGATGGTGTTTATCAACAATCTTACATGGTAAGATAAGTGGGGTGGTTACTCTTACCCAGTAAACATTTACTCAATAGGTGGTGTTAAACAGCCTCCAAGTCTGGTTACTTGGTGGGACTTGTTGAGCTCAATAACTAGTATACTACCCTGGTATTGGACTAGTTATACTAGATTTTATGTTTGGTCCTAGGCTTGTACTTTAAAAAAAAGCACAATTCTTAACTGTTATTTTAGATCAAGGTTTTAATTGATGTAAGATATGATGTGCGCAAAATCATGACTCAAGCCTTTGAAGCTATAGCGAGGCCATAGTGTTTTTCAAAGGCAACAAAGTCCATATGCTATATACATCATTATACATATATAAATACTAGAAGGGTACTCKCGTAATGCAGCGAGATATATCTTGATTTTAATATATCGTTTTATTATTTATCTCAGTCAATATTATAATATGATTTTATGTGATTTTGAAAAAAACGATAATGYTTTTATTTTTAATAAAATATAAATTTGAAGATATCATAAAAATTTGACAAAAATGTATCGATATTAGTATCAAATTAACTATTTAAAATTCCTTATTGTTTGTGTAATTTTTAATTCAA